TTATGGGCGAACAGCATCTATGACGGGTATGTAATCGTGTAACTATTTGTTTGTAATCTGCCTGAAGTTACAAATTTACTCAATTTACGATTTTGAGACCAAAAAAGGCATTGTTTACATTGCACATTTTTAGGTTAGATTGACATTGTAAATAGGTAATATTGTAGTACGACCATTTCTTTTGATACGTTATTATGGTTCAACTCGGTCAGGTTTTCTGGCAATTTTGAATTAATTGCTTCATGTCAATAAGTTATTGTTTCTATTCCATTACATATTTTTTTACTTTTTTTCAGGAAAATCAGAGAGTCGGATAGTCAATGAAGGTTTTAAGAATGATGGAAAGTTTGAAACTCCTGGGAAATCAGGCAAGGCTGACCAAAGAAAGAAATGGTCACATAAAGAACCATGGCCAGATGCTTTTAGTGAAGATACCTATCACTAATTTTACTAACTGCACATTTACAAATTGTTTCTCTGAATAAACTTTTTATGTACTATAAAATGATTTTTATTATTATTTTTTAACAAGTGTGTTAAAAAACGTCGTATGATGATACTTGTGTGTATTGATGATTACCTAACGGCTCTGTTCTCAATGACACCTCAGCGGTAATCACCATCATTACACACTTTTACACTATAAAGTACTATTTTATCTATAATAATTTTATTCTGATTCAATTAAATATGCTTGGCTAAACTTTTTATAAGCATATGTACCTACTATATATAAAACAGAAACAAAATACGACGGTATAGTATGTCTTATTAATTACTTATTTTAATGAACTGCTAGTATGAAAATCATTTTGGTCCGACTGTATAGGGTTGCTACATGCATACTAGTGGCGCCATCATTTAATGTCACGACTTTATAGACAAACGAACACGGGGTACAATGTTACAATGCACATTTCTCCTTCCCTTTCTATTAGTTTTATGATGTTGATATACACGTATGTCAAGCCCACAAGCCGCGATCTTTTACCGTTGATTCTGCCACAGTTTGACCGCGCTTGAAAATTAACAAACAAAAATTGTTTTTGTGTGATTAAACGTTTAATTTAATTAAAAACCGTTTCAAAGTTTTTTTTTTCCGGACGTGTTGTATTGAGGTAAATGTTGATAATTTTCTTTAATTTAATGTTTATTTAGCTACATATTACCGTTGAATTATTTGTTGTAAAAATAACCTAAAATATTCATCGAATTTTTCAATTTGGTTTGCCTCTCTGGAGCACTGTGTTACGGGGCACTGTGTAACACTGTACTATTTCAAGGTATTAAAAGAAAATGGTGCGAAATCGTAAGAGGAAGACGGATTATGGTCTTCACAGTGAAAAAGATATGGCAGAAGCGATTTTGATGGTTGAAAGTGGTGTTAGTTTTCGAAAGGCAGCAAAAGAAAAGCACGTAAATCTTATGACATTACAAAGATGCATAGAGAAAGACCAAATGTCAGACTGATGTCTATACTTTCCCAAAAAATATTTTGAAGAAGTTTAATATTTATTAGACGTTTAATCCTTTTTCTCATTTTGTTAATTTTCTAGTATTTTGTGTTGTAACATTGTGCCCTTTACCCTGTAACAGACTACCCCAGATACGGGGCTCAATGTTACAATCACCTGATTTAATTAAAGTGCAATTTAACTTTAATTAATTAATTATTTTTTTTAATTTATTTTTCTAACCTATATGTTGGCACTGATTTAATCCTGTCCCAGGTTGGTGCGCAACAGGTAGACCCCCTCGCCTTTAGCCTTGCCATTCACAAAGTGATCACTGAGCTCAAATCGCCCCTCAACATCTGGTACTTAGATGATGGGACCATTGGGGGTAAACCAGAAGAAGTGGAAAGGGACTTAGCTTTCTTATTACCTCGTCTGGGGGAGTTAGGTCTAGAGGTAAATTTTACAAAATGCGAGTTCTTTTCCTGTAGTTCGGTGTCATCTCAATCCTTCTCGTCTTTCACTTGTTTGCTTCCGGGCCTCAAGGAGCTCAATAAAGATTCTTTTAATTTGCTTGGTGCTCCTATTTTTCCATCTGCAGTTCCGGAGGCCATGAAAACTTGTAAGGATGTTCTCTTGCTGGCCAGCGAGCGTCTAGAGGCCATTGCTCCTCACGTTGCTCTAGTCCTCTTGCAGAAATGTTTTGCCATCCCAAAAATAACATACCTCCTTCGGACGGCTCCAGTTTGGATGTTCCGTGATTATATTGCTTCTTTTGACGCTGTCATAAAAAATGCGGTTCAGACAATTTTGAATGTCTCCCTGAGTGGCAACCACTGGAAACAGGCATCTTTGCCAATCCGATAGTGAGTCTCCCGGCTTTCTTGGCCTCGGCCCATGGGGTTTCGGGCCTTGTAGCTAATATTCTGTCTATGAATGGCGACAAGGTGACCGTACCCTTTGCGGCCGATGCTTTGGCAGCCTGGTTAGCTCTCGTCCCGGGTGCAGCCGTGCCTAGGAACCCCGAGTTCCAGCGCTCATGGGACGACGTTAATTGTAAAGAGACACTTGAACTGCTTACTGGTGGTGCCACGGGAGTCGATCTAGCGAGGATTTTGGCGGTTTCACAGCCTGAATCCGGGGCGTGGCTGCACGCGTTACCTTCGCCTCATATGGGCACTTTACTTGACGGTGACTCTTTGCGGGTGGCGGTCGCCCTCCGCTTGGGCTGCGATGTATGTCAACCACATGTATGCATCTGCGGTACCATGGTGGGGGCTGACGGCCATCACGCATTGAGCTGCCGTCGATGTACAGGCAGACACCCACGTCAGCATGCTCTAAATGACATAGTGTTGAGAGGTCTTAGGTCGGCCGGCGTTCCTTCCGTCCTCGAACCACCTGGTCTCAGCCGCACAGACGGAAAACGGCCTGATGGACTTACATTGGTACCGTGGGAGAAGGGACGATGTTTGGTGTGGGACGCGACGTGTGTCAGCACTTTCGCCGCTACCCACATCGGCCGCACGACACGCAGGGCTGGGGCGGCGGCTGAGTATCAGGCAACGGCGAAGCGCTTAAAATATTCTTCGTTGGGGCAAGGATAAATTTTCGTGCCTTTGGCGGTGGAAACGGCGGGTTGTTGGAGCGCAGAGGCCAAGTAATTTGTGTGGGACCTGGGCCGCCGACTCAGGCAAAAAACTAATGACCCTCGCTCCGGGTCGTTTCTGGCACAAAGATTGTCTATTGCCATCCAGCGTGGCAATGCTGCAAGCATAATGGGCACCTTTGCGCCAGAAACGATACGGGGTGATATTTGAATATTATTAGTATTTGTATATTATTCTTGTACATAATGTTAATTTTAGTTATTATATTATATTTTTAAGGTTTTTAGTTTTAGGTTCATTGTTACAAGTTTAAGAATTAAATATTGTTTATAATATATTAACTTTTATTAGAATTTAAGAATTCATATATTTTTACAATAGGCATAGTGAAGCATGGTTCCAAATAATATTCAATTTAGCACTTCAATAAATTTCCAATTGAATTTAAAAACTCTGAATAAAACGAAATTATTTAAATGTAGTAGTTCCTTAGAATATTAATGTTTGAGCTATTTTAATTAAAGACAGATTGTTAAAGTTTATTGTCATACCAAAAACTAACTGATTAAAACAAAATTTTTGTCATTATATTCCAGTATATTTTTTTTGTAACACTGCACCCCATCCTACCCTAAGGTATTTCGGGTGCAGGCCCAGTCCGTTAAGGAGCTATGGTATCACTGCATACAATTTTTGAAACCTATTTATTCTATTTTTATTTTGGTAATGGCATGTGTATATTTCATAATTTTGTATAAACTATAAAATATTAAAACGGTTTTTCGTAAAAAATCCATACTATGGTAGGTACATTCACTAGATGCTAAGTTTTATATTTTATAGTTTTTACAATTTTTTTTAAATATACACTTGCAACAACCGAAATATAAATAGAATACTTTACTTACCATTTCAAGAATATTATGTGTGTCCATTAGTACAGGTCTTGTGCTTAAGTTACTTAATTTGGCTATAGTGGACTGTACTACTAACTTAGGTTAGGTCTATTTTTGTTCTGACCCAGGCTACAATCAATTGCAGAACACTTCACATATATGTTTAAATCCTTAATTATTTTCTCGGTTTTAAATTCCTCCACTATGAATCACGTCGACAACTTTGAGTTTATTTGTAAACAAACTAGGGAACCACAGACAACTTATGTGGAGCTAAAATTGCGACACGAGCACAATTGTTTATTAGATACTTAGATTAAAACATAAGGGTAGATACGGCACTAGCCTCACAAAAGTGATCCGCATGAATTGTGGTCCACGACCCTAATCGCTTTAGTCACAACTTGACATGCAAACGACGTACATATGAACGCCAAAAAGTAATATGGCTAATATTTTGTGTTTATATGATAAAACAATGCCTAAGTGTGTTTTTAAAAAGTGCTCAAATTGCTCAAGAACTAAAAATAAAACCCACGGCATCACTTTTCATTCGTAAGTACTATAAAATATATTTTTCATAAAAATTGCTGTTTGTTTTGAATCTTATTCGGTAGTGACGTCGAGTACTGGTCGCGTGATTGGTCGGTAGTGCAGTGACGCGGATCTCGCCGTCTCGTTCGCGCTGCCGTTGAAACTTAACGTGCTGTTTCGCTCGGGTCGGTAATGCAGTGACGCGGATCTCGCCGTCCCGTTCGCGCTGCCGTGGAATCAGTTTTTGTTTGATGCAAGTATGAGCGTACCGTATCTACCCTTTTTGTTTTAATCTAAGATTAGATATAGGTTGTCACTTTTTATATGCATCAAAAGGAATGTAAACAGGAGACAACACTATTTTTGTAATTTCTATTCCAAATTACAATGTAGAGCTACGTATGTACATGTTTGTGTCTTTTCCTTAGTTAGGATCCTTATTCAGGGGTTCAAAACCTACGCTCTATTATAAGTTTAACCAATGTCAAATTTGACATTAGCTTCATACATTTTATGTCAATATTGAAGTCAGGTTAAAAAGTACCTCTTAGATCGTAGGTATTGAACGCTGCCCTGGTTTAATCAAGTATCTAAGGGTTTATCAAAAATACATAATTTTTGACTGTAGTATATCCTTGTCACGTTCAATAAAGAAGGAAAATGATAGACTATTGTCTAATTTAGTTTTAGGCTTTGAGAATCAGGCCCAAGTAGTGTGGGTGGAGTGTGGAATCGAAAGTGAACGATAACTCTGTTTATAAATGGTACTACTTACTGTTTATAAATTTTACTAATAGAATGCCGAGAATTTTACCTCTAAGAATATCCATTAGAGACAGCCTTATTTTAGTTGTTTTAGTTATATTGAATACAATACATATTACAGATATGGGTACGTGAAGATTTTATTAATTATTTATAAATTTATTGATGTTAGGATAAAAAGTTTACTTCAATTTTAGCGAACAATAACATACCAAACAAGGAGAACAAGGCAAAAGACGATAGCAATGATAAGTTTCTAAACTTTAGTGAAAATGAAGAATATTTATCAAGTTGTCTTGATCAAAAAAATATAACACTGTGCTCCATCTTGAATTATCCCTGTATTATTTGTAATAGAAGTATAGATTGCCGTTATGGAGGATTATCAGATTATACATGTTTGGTTAAACCAAAAGTTCTTTGTAATGTAAGTTTTTGTCTTATATTAATTTGTACCTACTGTTTTTCAAAATAACCATCATTCAGAAAATTCTTTATTTTCCAGGGCACTAGATCATTTAACAGAACAGCTATGTGCAGATTTTGCTATCAAACTGAAAAATGGGAACATAGATGTGATCAAAAAGCAAATTGCAATTCTGTGGCATCTCCACTCACATTCTATTTGTAAGTGAGAAAATCATTTTAAATAAAGACAAGAAAGCTTATTTTTGGACAACTTCTTCTAACATAGAAACCACTTTTAACTTATGCATTTTCCTCTAACATAGTATAGATTCCTTATTATTTAAACTAGCCATGAATGCAATGATGATAACCACTATGCTAAGGCCTTCCTGTCCCGACTTCTGCTTCAATGTTACTGGGTTTGAATAGTAATAGGGGCATTTATTTGTGTCATGAGCTCAATTCTCATTTGTTCAAAAGTTTGTAGACAGTGTTGTTGTTATATATGTTTTTCTTATATTATTTAGTTACCATAGAATAAGCTCATCTTAGTTGAAGACTGAATTATTGTGAGTTGCCCAGAATTTATTAGTATTGCCATGCAGTTTCATTTGAGAGTTCCTAGCCAATTCCTTAATTGTCAATAATTGTTTAATAAAAAAAAATATGTAAAGCTCATAAAATTTATTAATTTCAGAACAAACTGCACAGTTTCAGATGATGTTATTTGTTTGGGTAACAGAACATTCTTGAAGAAAATACGTTGTTCGTGGACTGCTGGTACAAGATGGGGCACTGCCTTGATTCTAGCTCTTACTCTTGGAGGATTTGGAGCTGACAGATTTTACCTTGGTCATTGGCAAGAAGGCATTGGAAAACTCTTTAGTTTTGGGGGTTTAGGAGTATGGACTTTGGTAGATGCTTTACTGATTGGAATCCACCATTTAGGACCAGCAGATGGATCCTTGTATATCTAAATAAAATATCAGGAATACTTCTAATAATAATAAAGCCTTTTATTTAATCCATATAGGTTATTTACATTTTGAAAAAAGTTGTTAGTTTGGTATACTTAATTTGTATTTTATTATTAGGTTGAGGAAAAAGTTTCTTTGCAACATTATTTGATACAGTTTATTTAAATTTAATTAGAGAACCCAGGTGCCATTTTGTTTGTTTTTGTTTGATAACTTTTTGCCATCTTGTGAAAACCAAACCACTAGAAGCGGTCTTGGCAGTCCTGTTTAGATGTAAACCTGACACTACCTAAAGATTTCTGAAGAGAAATTGGAAGGTGCAAGATCAGGAATATACGGCGGATACATTAACACCTCCCAGTCACACTTAATTTTTACTGAATGGCTAAAGATGTGCGTAGTGTCATCATGATGAAAAAGCACAACCCTGCTGTTGATTGATTCCGGCTGCTTCCTCTCAGCTTCTTGCTTTAATCTTATCAATTGTACACAGTAGAGTTAAGAATCAATGGTCCTGCCCGGCGGTAACAGCTCATAATGAATAATGCCCAAGTTAACCCAGGTTTCACCAGAGTCTGTGAAGCCTGAAGACCAGCCCTTGACCATGAACTTTATCGCACGTTTTTTATAGTATAATTTTAAAAAGTATAGAGATTCTTCATTAAATTCACTTATATTAACAATAAGAATCATACATTTTTCTATTTTGAATTTATCTTCTTTAGAATTTAAATTTTTCAATGATACCAAAACCAGCTAGGTACAAAAGGTATAACTAAAGAGATTTTATTACAAGTTCATACATTTTATAATGCGAAAAGACTTTTCCCCAACCTATTATAACTTCAAAACATATTTTTAAAATATTATTATTGCCTAACCAAAGTGCTCATAAACCAACTCTACTAATTCATTCTTTTTTAATTTACCAATTGATTTGAGATTTGGTATATCTTTAGAGCTCAGTATCTGCTTGAGTTGAGTTATATTATACCCATCTATTTGTTTGTTCTTAAGTCGATCCTGTAGAACTCCAACTTCAATGTCTTTGACTGTTTTTCCCTTTTTGCTTGTTGTACCAGACTCTTTTGTAGTTGTAGTGCGTTTTGTAGCAGTTGCGCCAAATGGACCAAATATATCTTGAAATAAATCACCTTTAATATCATTAAACTTATCTGGATCAGTTTTTGTTGTGTCAATATATGGTTCCATTTCTTCATCACCAAGTGCAATGGCTTCTATAGCCCTGAATTGTGATTGATAGACAGGATTTTCAAACGTGTCAGGCTTGTAATCAAATCTTAATTTGTTAATGACATCTGACATTATTGCTTTGTGAGCTTGTGGTATATCCATATTTTCTTCACTTTCTTCAATTGACAGTTGCCTAACTTGTTCCATGAAAGGAATTCTTATAATATCAAAACCAATTTCAATGTCTAAACCAAGTGGATGGGAACATGGGGATAATGCAACAATATTAGGTCTCGAGTTGACTCTAGTACATAAAACACATATTGCAACAACAGATGTATCAATACAAGCTTTATGTAATCCTTTAAAAGCTTTAGTAGAGCCTTCAACAGTGTTTTCATTGGGAAATAAAAAGTAACTAGACTTGTAATACCATTTTTCTTTTCTCATCATGCTAGCTGGTTTGAATCCCAGGAGTTTCATCATAGGGGGACCAAAAGGATTAGATATCATATTCTTTTCCTTGTCAGTAAACTCAATTTTCTCTTTGCCATATGTTTGATAATGTATCAGTTCTGATTTCAAAAGTGGTAATTTCTTGTTTTCACTTTCATCTTCATCCACATCCATGGAATTATCACTTGATTTACATTCTATGGACACTTTTTGTGTTTTGGTGACAGTAGTCACTAATGCATTTGTATCTCTATCTAAATCATCTTTCTTGGGTTTTGAGTTACTTTTTAAAAGACTATACACCCCAATACCAATTTCTAATCCTTCACCAATCTCAAACATCAGTTGAGCGATGGCTAAATTGCGATGGGACTGCTTATACATTAAGTTTTCTATTTCCTGGTGATCCCACACTGGCCTAGGTAATTTCACATCATGATTTCCACTCACATCTATCAAAAACTCTTTGTAAAATTCATGAGGTGTATTATCATTGCTTGCAACATTTATTATTTTTATTTCTATATCAGACTTCACCATTTCTTTGACTCTTGAATAAGTCGGATCTCTGTCAGTCTGAATAGGTGGTACATCCAATGTTGTGAGTAATAGTACTGTGCGGGTTACCAACTGCTTTTTACAGTTTGCAAACATTTTACTACAATGCCATAAAGCATCAGACATTATTAGGGTCTTATTTTGAGAATATGATGTTATATTGATGTTCTGTAACTTTTTAAAGTCGTCCAAATTAGGTAAACTCAAAGGGAATACTTCAAATACATTTTGGGAACCAAAGTTTGAAGAATCGGAATCACTTGTTCCGTAAAGACAAACACCTACGTAATGTGTGTTCGCTTGCCGTAAATGATGTCGAATCAAACGACATGTTGCGACGTGACTTCGAGTAGCCGACTCGTTTTGCATTGAATTAAAAACATTGATGAGTATTATTGTACCTGGTACACCTCTCCATGCGTGAAAGTCTTCTTTTTCTTCGTCAGAATCCATTACTATTCTAAGTAAGAGAAGTACAGCTGCAACGGAAACAAACGATTTCGGCAGCGAAATCTTCAACACTCAACCTGGTTATCAGATAAGCCGGCAACAGGCAACAGTCCACAAATTACAAAGTGATGCTAGCGCATCAATCATCATCAGCCGGTTTTTTTAGGCCGGTAAACACAAACATTTTTTTTTCTTTTTAATTATTCATGACTTTCCGGTTAAAATAAGGTACTCTGTGATTCATGACCATGGATACAAGTCCTTCAATCGTATACATATATTAAATATGAATCTTAATCTTTGTTTTTTATTTACATTACAATATCAGTGTGATGCATTCTGATGTTTCTTGGAGTGTTTGGCACGAAATGGTGAGGTAGTCAACACTACAATAAAGTTCTCACGTCCACTTAACCGGAATAGCGTATATTTTAAAGATTCCACTTATTATTCAGTTGCGCTGATAGTTGTTACGCAAAATCACACCAATTCTATTTTACAATATCCACTATGAACGAAATTAAGAATAATTAAAATAAAACGCCAACCAAAGAGTATTATTTTTAATACGCCAACTGCACTCGATGAAATCCCGCCAAAAACTCCCAAAAACAACAAGACAAACCAGACCAGAAACGAAACATTCAAACAACCACCCAGTGCTGCCACATGAGAAAATTAAATAAGATGGTTATTAAACCTCCAACCTCCAAAAAAAATTGTAAGGCCAGGTACCAGGCCAACCTTCTTAAGTAAAGAAAATAAATGTTTTGATAGAATTGTAAAAAGCAGGTCCATGCTTCTTCTTTTTGTATATTGTAAAAAGGCGGTACGATCTGGCAGCCAGCACCAAGGAACTTATATACTAACTGTAATGCTTACGCGACGCTCAAATCGTTCCGAAGAGCAAATCTGAATTGGTGGAGTGTGTCTCGTTCTACTAGAACGAGACACACAAACAGATACTTCACTGATGAGACAATTAAATTTCTTTGAGTGAAGGAACCTTCTAATTTTCAATAGGCTAGTTTACTCATGTCGAATTATCTACTATATAAAAATAAGTCGGGTTTTCCTTCCTGACGCTTTAACTCCAGAACGCACGAACCGATTTCCACGGTTTTGCGTTCGTTGGAAAGGTCTCGGGCTCCGTGAAGTTTATAGCAAAGAAAATTCAGGAAAATTAAAAAAAAAAATCGTTTTCTTTTAATCACAAAACGAAATGTTACATAAAACGAAGCTATCTGGTGGCGAAACGGAGTTCGCTGGGTTTGCTAGTATTAAATAAATGTTTATTTCTTAAAGTATTTAGTCTAAGGAACCTTAATATATCGATTTCACTTCATAAAAGCAGAAGATTGCTGTAGAAATTTAATTTTAAAAACTATTTTTTTGTCTCTTGTGGTAAACAACTAAATGTCATTCGCGTGTTACTGTAGGTGGATTCTTTCGTCTGACTAAATTTATCTTAAAACACTTTTAACTTTAGGAAAGAAAAAAACAGTAAACTTAGTTTTTTTTGACAAAACTAATTATGGATGCCGGCTTTGTGAAAGCAGAAATCACAAATCTGCCAAGAATTGACGCATTGATGGTTGGTGAATTTGTTGCACTAAACCCCGATTTCTGCTCTGCGGAGCAGAGAACCGACAAGGCATCTATGTAAATACAGTGCATTTAGTATTACAATGTAGTAATAAACATAAAACTGATACAACATATGAATAAGTGTAATAAAGTTGCGTAGGTTAATTTCTTTCGGCACTTTAATCCACAACTTTCCTGGAGTCTTCAAGGATGTGTTTTTATATTCTCGTACAATACAGTAATGATAATTACTTTATTTTTCGTGGTATTTATTAGAAATCATGTTTTTTTTTATTATAAACTCAGATAAAAGTAATTTTCTACGTGTTTACGAGTTTTTGTTTACCACAGTTCACGTCATAGCATAGATAATCTATAGACTAAAATGGCCGACAGCGTTTTTGTATGTCCATGAAAAGTCTATTTTAAAATTAAAGATTTGTAGCTTTCTAGGTTTAAAAAAATACAATAAATTTTTTTTCGGTCTAATAGAAAATTTATTAACCATTTAAATCCTTTTTCCAAAATGGGTCAACTAGCCTATTCTATATCATTAGCTTGAAAGTCCAAAAAAATATTAAAATCTTTAAAAGACCTTCCGAGCTTATTAAATATGTCGCTATATGTATTGCATCTGTTTTTTACCCAACATTGAACACGATTAACTGTTCTCAAATTTTAATTTGTCAAAAGATTCGTTTTTCAATAATTCTTATGTATACAGTGGTAGCTTTCCAATTACAGCATTATAGCGCATTATGCGGCATAATGCTTAACGTTGAGTGTTCCAACTACAGCAACGCTTCGCACAATTGAGCACTCTCAAAAGTAATGCTTTCGTGTGATGCGTGCAATCGTACCAACCCAGTGACAGAAAATTAACAAGTGTTTTTTCTTTAAGTTGGCATTGATCGAAATGTTTTATTTATGTTATCGTAAGTAGAGATGGAAAAAACGGCTTATTTCTTAAAAGCGTTTAAACGTTGTACTTTTTAAAATAAGCGCGCTTGAAAAAAAGCTTTTTCGTTTAAACGCTTATTGGCTTAAACGTTTAAAAGCATGCTTAAAAAGCGCGACGTTGTGTTGTGTTTTCGTTTAGGTATATCGTTTAAAAAAGCGTGAAAAGTTTATTGTCGTTTGTAATGTGTTTAAGTGTTTTATTGCATTTTTTCTTCTTATTAATGAAATTTTTATTAACAATTTTTTTAAACCTAATGAATTGATTGGCATTAAAAACGAAAGATTTTCAATTGAATTTAGATTTTATAATAAACATTTTTATAATAGTTAATGAACTTTCCTTCGTACTTTACAAGCTTAGGACTGTCTGGAGTTAATATACTCGTGATCCTGGCGTACTTAAAAGTTCATTGATTTTATATACATACTTTTAACTATTTTATATGCACATTAAACCAATACACGAAACGCATTAACACAAGCAAGCATGCAAACACACCGTACAACACCCACGCGCTCTTACCCCGTCACAGTGACAAGCGTACTGCTTTTCGACTTCGTTTAATTAAACGCTTTTAACGAAAAAAGCGTTGGTTATCCGACCAAATTTTAAAAAAGTGCATTTTTTTACGTCGCATTATAATAATTCGCATGCTGTATCGAAACCGGCTCACGAAAGATGGCACGCCGACGCGGCGCTGTAGTCGCGCGTTCTATGTCTGTGATATTGTGAAATATTTAGTTCCAAGGAATTCCGCGTACCCATTTTTCGATACTGTAGTGGACTAGAAGGATCGAAGTATGTAGTTTCCTGGCAAAGACATAGATGGCGGGATTTGCACTTTTTAAGTAAAAAATATACTTGCACTTTTTTAAGTGAAAAGCTTACTCACACTTTTTAAGTGAAAAGCTTATAACGCTTATACTTAAAAGCGTGCTTACAAGCTTAATATTTTAAGCGCGCTTATTTAAGCGCTTTTCGTTTAAACGCCCACCGCTAATCGTAAGTAATATTATTTATTGTTGAAAAATTATGAAAGCTTTCGTTTCATTAAATAGTTTTTTTAAACAATCAAAGTTAATTCAAACTGTTAAAAAAATAAATATAAGTATGGATGAAGGTACAAACATTGACTTTTTTTTCAACACTGAACTTAGCGCACTCTGCTGGTGCATTTGAAAACTAATTCACGTTCCAATTAAGCATCAGCATAATTCGGCATTGTGCGGCACTGAGTCGCATTATGCTATGTAATTGGAAAGCAACCAGTTTGTGTATAAAGTCGTGACATTAAATGATGGCGCCACTAGTATGCATGTAGCAACCCTATACAGTCGGGCCAAAATGATTTTGATACTATTTTTAGCAGTTCATTTAAGTAAAATAGGTAATTAATAAGACACACTATACAGTCGTATTTTGTTTCTGTTTTATATACAGGGCGTCCCACGGCTACCTCACATGGAGGGAAACTATATTAAATATTGAAGATAGGATATTTTACTGAAAGAAGACATCATTTTATTATTAATAATAACAAGAACTGCATTCACAGATTTTTAAAAAATCGCCTGCTACAACTGGGATTTAAACTCGTGAAAATTCGAAAAAAAAAACACCACATATTTAAAGATAACCATCGAAAGGGTAGATCATAAGTATTACTTTTTGCTAAATAACATAGCATCTTAAATAAAAGAAAAGTAATTTAATTTAACATTTTATTTAAAATTATTTAACAACATAATAAACTACTGAAAACAAAATAGGGCCCACCCTGTTTTCCAGCTATAATTTATTTTTCCTTTAACTTAAGTATTTTTTTTAATTGAGGTGTTTATAATTGACGTTTGGAAATTGTGTAAACATAAACAACAGTGAAAATTAAAAGTTTTATGTGAATTACACAGTAATTACAGTTTTTAAGAAAATTAACACTAATAAACTAAGAAAGTAAAGTTTGAATATTAACAATATTTTCACACAAATTTATGAAAATTGTCTCTTTTAGTAGCGAGTATGACCTCCTCCGGTCCGTATGCACTCTCTTAGTCTATCTGGAACGCTTTCGATTAAATGGATAACGCTTTCAGTCGGTATTTGCTCCCAACAGACTTTAAGGGCGTTTATGAGGTCTTGTCGGCTATTCACATGACTGAAATTTGACTTGAGGCTTCTTTTTAAATGATCCTATAAATGTTCAATAGGATTGAGGTCGGGACTCATGGCTGGCCACGGTAGTACCGTAATATTGGCTTCTGAAAGTGCTCTCTGAGTGATACGAGCCGTATGCGCGCGAGCATTGTCTTGCATGAAGACGAAGTTTTCACCGATTCTTTGCCTAAATGGGATGACATAAGGTTGGATTACATGCTCGATGTAACTAGCAGCAGTAACAGTGCCTTCTTCCAGAAATACCAGTTCAGTTTTGCCCATTAAACTAATTCCACCCCAAACCATTACACTTGGACCCCCGAACGATCTGTTCCGTGAATGCACGCTTCTGAAAAACGTTCGCCTTCTTTTCTTCACACGTGGACTCGACGATCGTCACTAAAAAACTTCACTTTAGACTCGTCTGTAAACAATACTGTCCTCCAGTTGTCCATGGTCCAATTTAAGTGTTCGCGAGCAAATCTTAACCGTGCTGCACGATGTGCCCTTGTCAACTTGAGCCGGATTACTCGCATTCTGGATCGTTGGCCATCCTCATGAAGTCTATTCCGAATGGTTTGATCACTTACTCGTGTGCCAGTAGATTTGCGTAAACGATTTTGTAAGGTCCGAGCGGTTATTGTACGCTCTCGACGTGCAGTCAATCGGATATAACGGTCTTCCTGGTCGGTAGTAGCTCGAGTTCTTCCTGTTCCCGCTCTCCTAGCAACACTAACAGTCTCTTGGTAGCGTTCCCACAGGTTACGGATAGCGCGTCGTGATACACCAACTCGTATTGCCACTGATCTCTGTGAATGTCCTTCCTGAAGCATAGCCACCGCTCTTGAAGCTGTTTCCATATCCATATGATGGCGAGAACCAGGCATAATGATCACAAATAACGTAGAAAATAAAACAAAATGAATAAAACAACAAGGTGCAACAGGAACTGTCAGACTGAGACTGAGAACACAAGTGATTGGAAATTTTAAAATTGGACGATTATTAGGGCACTTCACTTTTATAAAATCGAATATGCCTCCATAAGTTAACATGTTGAGTTCATCATCGTTGACGTTTATCATCCGCTGCTGTGGTTTATGTAAGCACATATCAAAACGTCCTAAATTTCTAACCTTTTAAACACATATCGAGAAGGTACGGTACTATCAGGGTATCTTTCGCGGTACCACCGCAAAGCTATGTCTTTGTGGTTCATAAAGTAACCTTCCATTAAACCCATTTTATTTTGTTACGCCATGGTAAGTAAATTAAAGAAAAATGTAATAA